CCCAGAAAAGTCACAGCAGAATTTTGTTTTATTTTGTTTTTGTATTCTATTAAGATGAATTTGGTAAATAAGCCAGTGTGGGAAATAAGGACCTACTTTTCAAAGGATAACTTTTACAGTCTCCCTCTAGTTTCAACTCATCACCAGTCTCGTGAAGAAGGGAGCCAGGCACCATCACAAGGCCCATGAAGCTTGCTCTTTCTACTTGGATCTCTGCACTTCTGACTCCCTTGTGGGCTGAGGGAGGTGGGGAGTGCGAGGTGGGGCGAGGAAGGAGGAGTGTAGAGGTTTCCGATGCTTCCATCTGCACTTCATTTCTCTGCGGTTATTGCTTGAGTTCCTGCCTCCCCACCTACACCCCAACCCTCACCCCAGCAAAGAACAGCCAGCTCACGGGGCCCAGGGAAGCCCCTTGAGGCCTCACACCTGACGGTGTAGCTTCTCGGCATCATCTCTTTGAGGCCACTGACAACGGGTGAGCCGGAGAGAGCATTGCCCAGACAGGCTGGATCCTCTTACAGACACTGCCTTTGCCTTAACATTCTTGGAAGTTCTTTAAATCAGAAAGTCAGTGTCATTCTTCAGACTTGCTCTGAAAGCCTTTGACCTTTCTCAAGGACAAATCGATGCTCAAGGAACAAGATTTGCCCCCGACTTTGTCTAAGACCCGAGGATGCGATGGCCACGTGGGGTTCAAACGTGGTTGAAGTGTACCTGTGAGGGTCCCCGGTGTCCACACTCAATTTTGTGCTTCTTTTGTTTCTAGTCTGTGCCATTGTTGTAGTTGTTACTTGTCTGTCTACTTCACTAAAAACATCCCTTTCAGAAACAATTTAAGAAAGATTCAGTGCTATCAAAATGTGAAGGATTATCTTAGGGGAGGAAGTATCTAGCGTTGGGTCTTAATTAACATTTCGGTTTTTAAAAATCTGTAACTTATTGAGTGCAGGGCTTAGTTTTACAATATTTTAAAACTGAGATATTCTCTCCCTGACTCCCATACAAACGGAACATTATACTAAAAGATAAATGTCCAATAATTCAGAGAAAGTGAAGGTTACCAAGTTATCCCACTCCCTGAGACATCACTGTCAAACATTTGGTGAGGAATCTTCTAGGTTTTCCCCTACGTAAAGCATGTATTATATAAGTGGTATTAACGGCATTATAATTCAGTTTGTTCTTAAGCTTGGACAAAAGCCGAACAGTGTGTTGGGCACACCTTTTCATAGCGATACGTTAACATCTACCCTATGCCTTTTATTTGCTGCAAAGAATTTTATCACATGCCCTTTCTTTGGGGACGATGGAGATGTCCTACATCTTCACTGTGGTAGTGGTGACAGGGTGTGTACATTTGCCAGAACTCAACCAGCTGTGCATTCCAAATAGATGCAATATATTATATGTAAAGTACTCCCCAATAAAGTGGGTTTTAAAAATATTATCCTCTTTGAAATTTGTACTTTGGTTATGTAAAAACAACAAAACACCTTGTTCTTGTCGCTAAAAGATACACACTGACACATCTGGAGGTAAAGGGTCCTGATCTGCAACTTTCTCTCAAATGGTCCCTCAATAACAACAACAAGCATCTATTTATGCATTCAGAGAGGGATCAAACACTGAAGTCAAATGTTAATAAATGACAAAACTAGATAGAGGGGGATAAAGTTTAGAAATAATAAAAGTACAGCTTTTGAAATTTATTTCCCCTTTAGCTTATCTCGACCTTTTTGTTCTTCTCTCTTCCTTTCTTCAACACTCTCCCCCTTCCCTCCCTCCTTTTCCCCAGTCTCTCCTTGACATTTTATCCCCTGCATATTTGAGCCCCATGGGCAACACCCGTGACTGTGTTCACCTGAAGAGATCAGGTACAGAGACGCGTGTGGGCTGTCGCCTGGGCAGTTTGTAAGCGGTAAAGCGCTACCGGCTTGGTGGAACCGGATTCAAACAGGACCTTCCCGAGGTCGGCAGTTTCCTTCCTGGGGTGACCAGAGGCTGTAGGAAATGTTTTCCGTTGTTAGACACCAAGGTCGGGGCCCCATGGGGGAGGGGGCTGGAAGCAGCGTTGCCCTACTCACAGGCCTCAGAATCAACGAAGATACTGTTTTATTATTATAATAAGTCAGATTCCACATCCCCCTCCAGACTGAGGGACTCGGAATTTCCGCGGACCCTGGCAGGTCTGCATTTTCACCACCGGCAGGTGTAACTACCCAGGAGTTTGAGAACCAGAAACCTAAATGCAGCTCGCTCGCCTCCCACTCTGCCCATAAGCACCTTTATACTGCTTTTATGACAATGAGCAACTCATTTCCTTTAGGCCAGGGTTGGGGGGATGGGTGATCTTTATCCTCCCTGTAAACTCTGGGTCAACTCACTGGAAAATAAACCCAGGGTCTGCACGGCGAAGCACCGCCTCGGGTTATGTAAACCTCCGCCCTGGGACTTTTCAGTTTCTTTTCTGGACCCAGCAGTGGCGACAGAGATCTGCGAGGGAAAACACGTACCTATGCTTGTGAGTCCCGGGGTCCAAAGGCCAGAGTGGACGAGGAAAAGTAATTTATAGGGCAGAAAAGAAGGGGGCTGGAAGCAGGGTGGGGTGGAGGAAATAGTTTGTACAGAAATAGTTTGTACAGAGGAAATAGTTTGTACAGAAGACGACCTGGGTGGCTTGCTGGGGAATGGGCGGCCATGGGTAGCTCCTGGGGATCAGCCCAAATCCTGAGCCCTAGAACGTCAGAGCCTCTCATACCCCCCAGAGAGTAGCTTTGGCTTCATCTCTGTTGCAACCAACTTTAAACGCCTTGGAACAAACCTAGCATACTATATTCTTATTATTAAAGTATTAAAAGTCTTTTTTGGGGGGGAGGGATGAGCTGAATGAGACAGTTTGCTGGAGCTGCCATGCTTAGGAAGTCCTCAAGGAGGCTTGACACCATGAAGGGAAGGGCTTGGGACCAGCTGTCAGGAGACCTGGGTTCCCTCTGCCTCTCCACACTCTCACTCCCCTTGTGACCTTTAGCAGTGGAAAGAATCTCCCTGAGATGGGACAAGACCCATTCCCTGTCATGCTAAATAAATTGTGATAGTCAAAGAAATTAATTAATAAAAATGGACGTGAAATCTATGAAACTGTTAAAACTTTCTGATGCGTGACTTTTCCATCCATAGAAAAAGTGTAGGAGAAGGGTCTTAGTGGAATGGTTAGTAATGATGGGTATAGTTCAACTTTAAAAAAGCATTTTCAGGGGAGACAAAGGTGAAATGAACTCAGTTCCTGCTCCTGGAGTGGCTCATTGTCCAATGGGGGGAATATAATTTGGTAATGATACGGAGCAATGGGCTCACTCTGCTCGCCGAGATCTGAGCCAATTAATCACGAGTTAGAGATCGAGAAACGAAGTTTAATTAGATTAGCCAGCAAATCGGAAGACAGGTGACTAATGTCTCAAAGACCCATCTTCAAAGATTACAGAATCTTGAGGCAGTTATATAGGGAAAGTGGGCAGTAAGGAGGCGGTCCAGGGATGTTGGTCTGCAGGTATGACCGGCTCCAGGCATCACATTGTTCTATTCTTCTGTGAGCTGTGATAGATACCTTGTAGGTGTGTTTCCTGCCTGTGGTCAGCCTGTTCTGGAGAGAAACTCATAGAACAAAGTTTTTAATTTATCAAGCTATTGGGGAGTACATACGTAAGTGGAGGCCATAAATCAGGAGAGCATGTGAATTTTTTGGAGTACGTGCAGCACAGCGAGTAGTGCTGTATATTATACAGGAGGGGCTGGGCCATTTAGTGTAACAAGATGTGCTCACTTATACTCACCTACAGTAAGATGGGATTCAAGGCAGGGCACGCTTGGTACCACTGGGGAGGTTCAAACCCTGGCCTAGACAAGTGATTCTAAAAGTTGCCTACATATTGGAATCACTGAGGGAGCTTTAAAAGATACTAAGGCCTAGGTCCAACCCAAGGGATAGTGATTCAATTGGTTTTCGCCTTGGCCTGGGCATATAGATAGTAAAATCTCTCCAGGTGGTTCTAAGAAGCAGCCAAGATTGAGGACCACGGGTGAGATGTTCCAAAAACCAAGATATGTGTTAGGAGGATAAGACATAGCTTTCAGTAGAAAGAGGTGCTCAGGATGGCATTATTGTTATTATTATTGAGATATAGTTCATATATCACATAATTCACCCTTTTAAAGTGTACGTTGGGTGGATTTTAGTATAATCCTGAGGTTGTGCCACCATCACCATCACCTAATTGGAATGATCTTTCAGGATGTGCAGGTCTGATGGGTTGGAAGGCAAAGGTGAGAGTAATCCAGAAGAGGGAGATGCTTAAGCAGTGGCATCCTGGTGGGACAGGGTAAGGAGACAGAGGGAGTCCACCTTTACTCAGATCTGTCACCAGAGAAATGAGGGTGATGCCAGACAGCAGGTTGTGGCAGCTGTGGGCTTTGATGGTGGAATAGAGGCGTTACATGTCAAATTCAGCAGAGGGGGCAGCTGTGGATTGTGTGGGGCCTATGGTTATAACTGGGGGCAGGCACGGTGTTCAGGAAGCCTTTGCAGTTTTCTAGGCTGAGGTAGATGAAAGCCTGGACTAAGATAGTGGCTATGGGATTGAAAAGGGGTTAGAGGAGCTGACTTTGAGTCCATGAGGCAGAGGAAAGGGGGATCAGAAGGGACCAAGGATGGTGATGCTAAGAGAACTAAGGGAGGAGGAGAGGCTGGTGTGGTGGGAGAGGTGTACTATCCTTGTTGACCTGTTGGATTTGAGAGGCGGATGGGTCCAGAGGTGCAGATGTCCTGAGGCAGGTTGGAAAGGGGAGTCTTGAGAGAGATTGGTGTTGAATTGAAAGGTGGGGAGCCGCCTCATTGGGCTTGTGATCCCCCAGGGACTGAATAGAGAGGTCACCTGGGAGAGTTAAGACACTTACAGGATGTGACCACAGGAAAGGAGACCTGGTTGGATCTGAGTCACTGGGAGGAAGAGGAGGAGATTATAATGGCTGCAAGATCTAAGAGCGTTTGGAATGTGAGTGGTTCTACTGGGGAAGTTGCTTCTGAGAGGCAGCGGTGGCTGAAGCCAGGAAGAAGCCAGGCACAGGCTGGCTAGTGGGGTGTCTCTACAGGAGCTCAGTGAGACCAGCACTGCTCTGTGGAGGGAAGTCCGCTTTGGTGGGAAGGGCGGCAGTGATCTGGGTGCCTCTGAGGTTGGTGCCCTAACACTCAGCTGCTCAGAGCCAGTCCCTGGGTATTTGGCTGTACTCACTCAGGCTCATTGACTTGGCATTGATGTCAGTTCCAGTTAGCTGAGCTGTCGGCTTTTCCACTCACGGCTTTTCCACTTCTGCCCAGGCCCACTAGAATGTTATGTTTGTAGGCCTGTAGCCCTCACTCTCTGCTCCGGTTCGGGCGGTGTGATATGACAATGCTTTCTGGGAGCGGGTATGCAAAGCCATGTCAGGCGAAGTTAATAAACTTCTGCCAGCACTTTCCTGCCTCAGCTGAGCTCTGAGGCTTGTGGATCCGCGGCAGGTTGGCAAATTCACAGTCATGTGGCTCCACCATGTCTTGCCCATCCTGGCCTGCACTGCCCTTTTTGCCCCCTGGGTACTGCCGCTGGTGAGTGGGGTTATTTGCAGTCCTCAGGCACGGGGGAGCCGCGGGGCCTTTGGGCCGGGGGGAGTGGCTGGAAGAGGCTGGTTGCCACCACCTCAACCCTGCTTTTCCCATCTTTTTTCACATCTCTTCTGGGTCTTGCATTTTCCAACCCCCGCAATTTTCTGATCACACCTTAATCTCTTTGCTCTACTTGGGGTTGTAGGGGAGAAACAATAATTTTCCCTCTACCCTTCTGAGTTCTTAGCTGAGACCACTACAATCAAAGACAGATTAAAAAGAGAAAAGCAAATCGAAGTTTATTAACAGGTGTACCTCCTGTATCCAGGAGAGATACCCAGAGAGATCGCTTACTCTGCAGGGTGGCTTAGAATTCGGGATTACATACATCTTAATAGGGAAGGGGAGGCGGGCTGTAGGGAGAGTAAATGCTTTAGGAAAGATGAATGGGCACTTAGAAGAATAGATGGAGAGTATGATAGTTTGTGACCAAGTTTGGGTGTGGTGTCTCCTCTCCTGCCTTAAGAATCAATCTTCTTTGGTTAATGAAACTCCCCTGGAGGGGATCTATGACAGTTGAGTTCCTTTTGGAGGACCTGTCTTTAGGCAGATAAGGGGAGTTCAGGCAAAGCTTCTCCCGGCATTTGCTTTTATTTTTTAAAATTATTTTATTGAGATCATACTGGTTTATAACATTGTGTAATTTCAGGTGTATGTCATTACATATCAGTTTCTGTATAGACTGTCTCCTGCTGATCACCAATAGTCTAGTTTTTACCCGTCGCCATACATATGTGCCCCTTTACCCCTTTTACCCACTCCTCCCACCCTCTTCCCCTCTGGTAACCACTAATCTGTTCTCCTTATCTATGTGTTTATCTTCCACATGTGAGTGAAATCATACGGTGTTTGTTTTTCTCTGTCTGGCTTATTTCACTTAACTTAATACCCTCAAAGTCCATCCATATTGTTGCAAATGGGATGATTTTGTCTTTTTTTTAATGGCTGAGTAGTATTCCATTGTATGTGTATATATATACCACATCTAAATTATCCATTTACCAGTTGATGGGTACTTGGGTTGCTTCCACGTCTTGGCTGTTATGAATAATGCTGCAATGAACACAGGGGTGCATAAATCTCTTTGTAGTGTTGATTTCATGTTCTTTGGATAAATACCCAGTAGTGGGATAGCTGGATCCTATGGTATTTCTATTTTTAATTTTTTGATAAATCTCTGTTTTCCACAGTGGCTGCACCAGTTTGCATTCCCACCAGCAGTGTATGAGGGTTACTTTTTCTCCACGTCCCCTCCAATATTTGTTATTTTTTGTCTTGTTAATTATAGCCATTCTGCAGGTGTAAGGTAATATCTCATTGTAGTTTTTATTTGAATTTCCCTAATAATTAGCAATGTTGAACATCTTTTCATGTGCCTATTGGCCATTAGTATATCTTCTTTGAAAAAATGTCTGTTCGTATCCTCTGTCCATTTTTTGATCAGGTTGTTTGTTTTTTTGATGTTGAGTTGTATAAATTCTTTATATATTTTGGAAATTAACTCCTTGTTGGATATATGGTTTGCAAATATTTTATCAAGTGGGTTGTCTTTTTGTGTTGTTCATGGTTTTCTTTGCCTTGCAGAAGCTTTTTAGTCTGGTGTAGTCCCATTTGTTTATTTTTTCCCTTTTTTCTTTGCCTGAGTAGACATGGTATTCGAAAAGATGCTGCTAAGACCAATGTCAAAGAGTGTACTGCCTATATTTTCTTCTAGCAGTTTTATGGTTTCAGGTATTACATTTGAGTCTTTAGTCCATTTTGAGTTAATTTTTGTGTTTGGTGCAAGATAATGGTCTGCTTTCATTCTTTTGCATGTGGCTGTCCAGTTTTCCCAACACCATTTATTGAAGAGATTTTCCTTTCTCTATTGTATGTTGTTGGCTCCTTTGTCAAAAATTAGCTGTCTGTAGCTGTGTGGTTTCATTTCTGGGCTTTCAATTCTGTTCCATTGATCTCTGTGTCTGTTTTTTTGCCAGTACCATGCTGCTTTGATTACTATAGCTTTGTAGTATATTTTGAAGTCGAGGATTGTGATGCCTCCAGCTTTGTTCTTTTTTCTCAAGATTGCTTTGGCTATTCGGGGTCTTTTGTTGTTCCATATAAATTTCAGGATTCTTTGTTCTATTATATA